GGAACTGCCTTCATGTCCTGGGCCGCTCGTTCCATGTTCGTGCGCATCTCAGCTATCTCGGCCTTATGGATGCGCAGTGCTTCATCACATCGGTCGTCGAGTTGCCGAATCCAGAGGAGATCTTCATCGCTAATGTTGTCGTGTTTGGTCTCCTCGACTCCTCGGGTTATCCTGACTCGATGGGCTTCGGTGCGTTCGATGTCTGCACATCTTTCTGGGTTGACCTCGGTTATCATGTCCTCGTGAAGGTTGACAACTGGTGGTGTTCTTCCTGCGGGCTGCGCGCCCTGCTCCAAAGGTCGGTTGGTTCGCCTTGCTGGGCTTCCTTTGCCTGTCTCCGAGGTGGTGTAGAACGACAAGAAAGTTCGAGTTCTAGGTGCGCCATCTAGCGTTGAAAAGAGAGTGGTCGGGGCGAGTCGACCTCCTTGTTGCCTAAACAAGCCCTCGCCTCGGCTGCGGCTTGCCGTAGTGAGGATGTCGAGTCTTTCGGTTACTACGGAGTTGACTTTGTCTTGGTTCTCCGGTTTTTTTAGCATCGCATCCATCGCTGCCTTGATCTGATTCAACACTTCTAGTGCAGGTGGCGCCTCCGTTGTAGATCGGTTGACGTTCTGTGTAGTATTTCCAGTAAGGTTGGTTTGGATCTCTCTGTCGCCAGGGTCGGTGTCGTCGACGCGGTTGCCAGCGATCTCGTTGACGCGGTTGCCAGCGGTCTCGTCGACGCGGTTCCCATCGGCGTTCTCAACGCGGTTATCAGCGTTCTCAATGCGGTTATCAGCGTTCTCAATGCGGTTGCCATCGGCGTTTTCAACGTGGTTGCCCTCAGTGTGGACGTTGCGCCTGTTGCCATCGGTGTTGTCGACGCGGTTGCTATCAGTGTGGACGATGCGTCTGTCACCATCAGTGTTGTTGATGCGTTCGATGGTCATCTTCTAGGTGGTTTGTGATGTGATTCCTTCGAGTAAGAAGATCTGTTGTGTATCCCCTTAGACGGTGCCAAACTGTGGATGGTAGAACCTGCACAGTTAGATTTGTCAAGAGTTTCAAGAGGATTGAGTCTTCCAAGTATGAAATCACAAACACAAAAGGATTGAAGATGATTCTTATTGCTGTTTCTGTCAAAGTTTAAGAATACAAGAGTTTCGTTGTAAAGAATTGCGGATCCCCTTCTCAAAAGAAATACATTGGTATATATAGTAAACGAGGTCGGCTAGGTTAACCTCCTAGAAAACAGGGAGTTTTCCTTATCCTCTTAGAGTTTCCTTTCCTTGAGGTTGGCTACATCTAGTGGGCTGCGCCGGTCCGCTCGGCCTATCTTGTCATGTCTTGGGCTCAGGGCTTTACTTTGTCGCGGGCTTGCCTTTTGGGCTTTTTGGTTATGTCGGCCCACTTCTCCAATGCAGGTGTATCCTTCCCATCGGTTAGTACCATTAGTCTCGCCAGGCTTGTCATTCGAGCATGGTCGTGCAATCCGCCTCGTGGGATATGTAACCTCGTCGGATACCGGATAGCTGGGTTCGTACAATCATTTCCGGCTCAGTCTCCACACTTAGCCATTTTCAGCTTTGATCTTACCGGGGTGAAATCCGACCCCCACA